AACTCAAGCAATAAAGATTATAGATTGGAGAGAGTGGAAGTGGAAACCAAAACTTGTGGAATGAGGCCAGACGGGGCCCAGTGAAAACGGGACTCTGGAGATGGGAGTGTCAAGGATAAGTGGAAGGTGGGGGAAAAGATTTAGATATGAGGCCAAATTGTTCGATGAAGCCCAAGACTTCACAATGCCCTAGGAAACAAAAGCAGAGAGCCTCAAGGATAGAGCCTGCAGTGGGAACATCAACACGTCCAGTATCCGATACGGGGAAAAGCAATCCTATGAGAGGGACCCCAGACGATAGGGACGCAGGAGAGCAGGGAGGAAGTGTTACCTAGATTAAATTATCAGAAGAGGACTCTGAAGTATGAGGCAACCACTTGTGCGAAGGGCTCCCAACAGGTTAACTAGTCTAGAAAAGGGTCAGTTTAGCAAGGCTTCTTGGGCCGATGGAATGAAGGATATGAGGGAGAAAGAAAGAAAATAAAAAAACTTACTACATTTTCTGGCTTGAGCCACTAGATTACTGGTGATCCTGTTAATCAAAATAGTAAATATCAAAGGAGTGAAGTCAGAGGTAAAAATAGTGAGTAGGAGGCATCTGGGAAACTCGAATTTAGAGCTGTCTGGAAGGCAGTTTAAAGCTCCCATTTGTGGGCAGGCTCTTATGTCAATAAGCTCTAAGGTGAGAAGCTGGATCGGCCACATAGATGCTTTGCTAAGCAGAGTTAAGCAAACACACTAGATAGCTATTATTTAGTGGTGTCTGCTTTGCATCACACATTCATACAGAGAAAAACATAGTTATCCTTACACAAATAAATAACACTAATTCCTCCTGGGTTGTGCATAAATTCAAGTGAGGAGTTCACTGGATTTTGAAACCCCTCCTCTTTGGGGGGGATTGGTATTGTTTTGGGTTCACTGTGACTTTCTCTACTCCAAAGGCCAAATCAAAACTGACCATCTCTGCTTCTTTACCTCTCCTTGTATCTTCATTCTCTTGTCATTTCTATTTTCTATAAATTAATTAAAACCCTGATGCTGTAGATGCTGGCTGACTTTTCCTTTTGGGAACTAAGCATGAGAATGCTAACATCTTGTTTTTTGCTTGGAAACACAATATCTCACCATATTTGGCTTAAGCGATGGGTGTGCTTAAATGTTAAATTCTATTTGGAATGTTTTTTCTGTGTTTTATTATTATTATTATCACAGATCTATCTATATTTTATCCCTTAAAGAAGATAATACTAAATTTTAAAGAAAAAGAAACCCATATTGGTATCTAGAGTTTTTTGGACTTGATTTTCTTTTGTACCCTTCATAAATAGGCTAGCCTATGTTTATTTATTTGGTTGCTTTTTTCAGGGATGAGTAGACAGATCATTGAACTTCTATGTAGATCTCAAGTTTTTCTTTTTAAGCCATTTTTAATCTCCATGTGTTCTATTTTGATTTTTTGCAATGTTGTTGTTGTTTTTTTTCCTAGAAAAAATAATTTTAAAAAATCAAACTAAGGGGGAAAAAAGTATGTTTTCTCTTTTCAGAAATTGACCATAAAGAAACTGGCATATAAAGTATTCAACAATACTTTCAATATTTTGGCACTGATTTCCCAATATCATTACCATAAAGAGACAAACCAGAGAAATGCTGTATTTATGATATCTGCATTGTGGTTCAGGAATGTTAGCAAATTTTTCTAGTGTTGGCTGTGGCACCAGAACGTTTTTGTAATTTCTGGCACGACTCTTCATTTGTGGGTAGGTTCATCAACAGTAGCATTATGTTCGTTTTATTTTAATATCTGAAAGGCTGCCAATCAATATTTTTTAAAGATATAAATCTAATTTCCCTGCCCTTCCTCCCACAGTTTATTCAGCCAACCATTTATAGTAAACCTAACTGCAGACGTTGCTGGTTTGGGTACAACATTTACTTCACTCAGTATCCATTAATTTTTATTTCTGACAGAATAAGCATATGGTCCTAACGCTCTATGAAATCAGACTCTTGGAACCAGATTCTGTTATAAATTTCATTGCTCGTTACCTTTATGCGATGTTACATTATATACATCACTTAGCCTGCATGAAAAGCTGCATAGATGGAACAGATATATTTTGACATTTAAGTTTTACTTTCTTTTTTTTTATAAACATGGAATTCAAGTAACCACATACATAGTTTATGGATTTTTACATGTACTTGTGTGTGTTATTGGCTACAATGTCTTTATTCATATCCCATGTTTTTAATTAAGACAAGAATAAAAGAATAAATATTTCCCTATTGTCTAACGCAGTAGTTGGCAAAGTAAGGTCCAAGAGCCAAATTCAGCCCATTGCCTGTTTTTGTATGGCCCAATTGCTAAGAATGTTTTTTACATTTTTAAACGTTTGAGAAAGACTCCAAAGAAGAAGAATACTTTGCTTCATGTAAAATTCATATAAAATTCAAATTTTAGTATCTAGAAGTCAAGTTTTATTGGAATATAGCCATATCCATTCATTTACATACTGTCTACGGTGCCTTCATGTTACAGCAGCAGTGAGGGGTTGTTGCAAGGGAGGCCCCAGAGCCTGAAATATTGACTATCTGTCTTTTTAAAGAAAATGTTTGTTGACCCCTGGTCTAAGGCATAGCTGACTTTTTTTTTTTAATCCCAAATATCAAAAAGTTCATGCAATCAAACTAACACAATAACTGATTTTTTCTTTTCCCTAAAAGTGATACAGGAAACGTATCCACTTTGTGTTGTTGCATGTAGTGTTAGAGTTTGCCTCTCCACTGCCTAAACAAAGTCACCCTGTGCTGCTCTGATTAAGAGAGTTTACCCAAAGAACAAGAGTGCCGAGTTTCAGATGAGTTCTCTTTCCTCCACCTTCCATCATTATCAACATATTGACTTTGTTTTAATGAAGGTAATTGCACAGTAGGAGTAACTGAACTAGAAGGCAAAATGTCTCTAGGTTCAAAACTTAATCATCTTATTTCCCAGACTGACATTAAATAAATAATGAGTTGAAGTAACTGTGGAAGGAGACGACAGGGCCACTAAGACAGGCTCCTTGGATCTTTGATGTGCCTACATTTTCTTTCGAGGTTGAGGATAATTAAACCGAAAGGTGATCTCTTATGACAGGCTGCTCTGCATAGTAAACTTCTACACTGATTTACCAGAGATGACTGTCAGTGTGAATGTAGCATTTATTTCTAGGAGAAACACTTAGCTGTCATCTTTGAAAATAAATTATTTTCCTGGCTCCTTTACCCACAGTGTTTCCCTCTTTCATATTTCGTATTGGAAATAATCAAAATGGGTTCGCTTTTAAAATACTATTGGTACAAAAAGTGAACAAACTTTTAGACAATATAGAAAGATTTTCTGTAAACTTTTCTGTTTCTTCAGCATTTTATTTTGTTCCAGGAACAAGATGGGGCTGTCCGTTTATCCTTAAATCTTTTAAACAATTATAAAAAGTTATGGGTTTTTCAGATTATATTTCAAAAGATCTAAGGGAAATAATGTATTTCCTTTGTTTCAAATCATTTGTGGAATACTCTGAGGAATTCATTCATTAATGCCTCAAATGCCTCAAATATTTAGTGAGTACCTACTGTGTGCCAGTCACTGTTCCTGACACTTGAGATATACCAGTGAACCAAACAGAACCAAATGAGATTTTTGCCCTTGTGCAGTTGACATTTTAGTAGGAGGAAATAGACAAGAACCAATGTACATAATAAATGAGTAAATGGCATAGCATATTATAGAGGTTAAGTGAAATAGAAAAAAATTCAGAGCAGAGGGAGGGAGATCAAGAATATCAGGGTGGTTTGAGGTGGTCAGTGAAGCCTCATTGACAAGATGATGCTTAAGTGAAGAGCTGAAGAAGCTATGGGCATTAGATATATATATATATATATATAGCCAAGGCACGAGCATTTCTGGGAGAAGGAATGGTGAGAGTGAAGGTCCTTGAGTGAGAGCTGACCTGTGTACGAAACAGCCAGGAGGTGTCATGAGTCAGGGAAGTAGTGGGGCCAAATCACATAGCCTTGTAAGCCACTGAGAGGATATTCCATTCTCATGAGCGCGGGGAACCATCACAGGGCTTTTGCTGGGGAGTGACATAACTCAGCTGACTTATCGAAAGGTCTACTTGGCTGTTTTATTGTGGGGGAGTCAGGCAGAAGCAGGGAACATATGAATGAGGAAATTGCAATAATTCAGGCGAAAGATGATCATGGCTTGTATAAGGAAAAATGAAGGTGGTGGGAGTGGGTGGATTTGGGATGTATTTGAAGGTAAATGTGTAGGATTTCCTGAAAGATTGGATGTGGGAGAGAAAAAAAAGAAGTATTTTTTTACTCTAAATTGTTGTTTGTTTTATATATATTTTTTTAAACTGGGAACCTGCCATCTGTCAAGAATGGAGAGGTCCACAGGTGGAGGGACATGTTTTGGGAGGACCATCAAAAGGTCAACTTCGGGTATCCTGAGTTTAAAATATTTATTAAAATAAAATAAATAAATAAATAAAATAAAATAAACTCAATATGGTCCTAGTTGGTACTTTCCCAGTGTCTACCTCATGGAAGATGTTGAAAAATATTGTATAAATATTTAATATATGTAAATATATTAAGTGCCACTATAGTGTGCACAAATTAATGAATGAGCATTCATTGAACAGTGAGCACTCAATGAGTGGCAGCCAGCAGGCTGTGCACCACCACATAAGGGGTCTAACCAAATCCTTGTCAGAACCCCAAAAGGTAAATGGTATTGTCTACATTTTACAGAAGGAGAAACTCAGGATAAGTGATTTACATGAAGTTCACATGGTTAGTAAGTTGCTCTAGCTTTAAGATTCAAACTCACATTTTATAACTTCAAACACTGCCTCTTTTTTTTAAAATCAATGACCCCACAAAAGAAATAGTAGTATACCTGGTAAGCTGCCATTTGTTTAAAATCTGATTTTTATCTTCAGATTATAATACAAGCGAACAAAAACAAGCCTGTAAGAAGCATGAACTCTACGTGAGTTTCCGGGATCTGGGATGGCAGGTAAGAATGATCAGTCAATTCAGGTGCTTCTTTTCTGCTTTATGGTAAATCCTGAGTTACTTGTAATCTTTGTCCATGATTTTTCCAGTACAGTAACCAACCTGACTATTCAGTATATGGATTATCCACATCATTTTTATTTCTCCATTATTCTTTCACCATTGAAACATAATTATTGGATTTTACAGTAAAAAGAAAAACTGTTGAAAAAGAAATGATATTTATAATATTTAGAAAGTGAAAAGGGTGCTGTTGTTTAAATATTCCAAATTTTTAATTTTAATAGTATTTTTTCATATTAACTTGAGCAATTCCCTTTTCCCCCAATGGTCCCAAACTTTCAGTCTTAAGAAATAGAATTCTTGACTATACTGCCTCTGTCATAAAAAATAAAAAAATCAGACAAAATGTTTTTTCCTGCACTTCAAACTTATTGCCATCTTTCACATATGCTTCATAAACATATGATCAGCTTCATAAAGAGGGTGAGAAGAACTTAACCAAGGCAGTTTAAAAACACACACATACACACAAACAGTTTTTAATAGCTTTATGTAGTAATCATTTAAATTGAAGTTTTTAGATTATATTATCCTATTACAATGACTCTCAGAGTATGAGCTATTTTATTGAAAGTTATTATTAAAATGTGAACATTTTCAAATTTTACATTTGGGCCAAGATTTTTACCTCTTTGGGGGAAAAAAAAAATGAGGACAATCATTACATATGCCAATTTTTTAACTTCCTAAAATTTTTCATGTGCCGTTTTCAGGAATTTTCTCCAATTCATTTCTTCTAAAAAGTCTATAAAGTTAATGCACGAATGAAAGGAAAAAGAGTCCAAGAGACAAATATTAAAGCTTTAGGAGGTTGTCAAGCTTCTAAAACCAGGAATGAGTTATTAAGAAGTAATGAGAATTATCTCAAGTTCATACTTTTTTTGGTGTGGTTCACTTGAACTTTCCAGAGTTCATCATTTCCTGTTTAAAGAATATTTAGAATGCTATTTCATGATTATGGTTTTATTCATGAATGCATGGATTTATACATACTATGAATATTGTACATAGCAACCTCTTGGGAGAAATTACAGAGGACATTTTCTTGTGAAAATATTTATATATTTTTTTGTAAACTTCAACTTAAAAATAAATCAAAGGCTTGGGGGAGGCTATCCTATTAGACTAATTGTTGGACCAAGAAGAGAAAGAAACTTATCCAGGTTTATATATATTTGAGTATTTTTAAGAATTATTTTTTAATGATATTACCTTTTTATTCTTTTTTGTGCATTTTAGGACTGGATTATAGCGCCAGAAGGATATGCTGCGTTTTATTGTGATGGAGAATGTTCTTTTCCACTCAATGCCCATATGAATGCCACCAACCATGCCATAGTTCAAACTCTGGTATGCTCTGTTTTTGTAAGATTGAAACTGGTTTAAGATGCAAGCTTCATATAGTTATTTTACAGGAAAGCATGCATTTGCAGTTATCAATGCATTATCTACTCTTCTCAAATTCCTTTGGCACTTTTTAGAGCCAAAGTAACAAATTATAGTCAGGAAAGTCAGGCTGGTTTAAAAAAATAATCCTGATTCCAGATTGGGGAAGGATTCAGCTAGGAAAGTTGGAGTAATCACATGATGTGGTCGTTCTACCCTGATTTCTACACAATGCGATGTAACTGACCACACAGGTTCCCAATGGCTGTTTCTAACCAGCAATTCATTAGTACTCATTGCAAAAACATTGAATAGCTGTAGTGAATTTCATCTCAGGGCTTTTACTCTAATTCTTTAAGGATGTTTCATAACACACGATGGCATTATGAAAGTTCTTCAATATAGAATATAAGTAGAAGACACATTTCTATTTCTTAATACCTTTTTTTTTGAATCTTTAATCTGGAAATTAATCTTCTTTTTTTTTCCCTTTCCAGACTCAGGAAGTTAGTAGTGCTTTAATCTGTAATAGGCTTATTTTTTGAAAAAGATAATGAAATGTTGATTTCATGGCCTCTAAGTGGCTGTACTGTATTTAATGAGCTCATGAAACCTCTTGAGAACCTGACATACCTGCCTTATGGTGTGTGACTTATTGATGAGGCAGAAGGACAGCCTTTGGAAGACTAAGTGAGAGGCTCTTAGAAGGTGCAGTAGATTATGTGATATAATTCCAAATTAATGTTTGGGTTAATATGAAAATTTAACTATTGTAATTAGGAGAGAAGAAAAGGAACAAATTATTTTAGACTCCAGACTTAATAATGGGAATGGGGTTATTTGGTGGATGGCAGTAAGAGAGCAATAGCTATTGGGGAAGAAAAAGCATTTAAAAAATCTGTTTTTGTGGATGAGGGTTGTTTATGACCAAAAAAAGAGTAACTATCAGAATTTGTGAGAAGTTGACTCTTTAGGAGGTTACCTTTTTTTCCACAATTAATTTAAAATTTAAAGTTGATGAAAAGAGTATCTCAGTTTCCTTCTGAATAAGGAATTATATATATATAATATATATAAAATTCTTGAATGCCCGTGTTTTGCTGGCATCTTCACTGACTTTGTAGGTACTACAAAATAGCTAGACACCAAAGACACAACTATGACAGCTAGAGCAGCTAGGAATTGTAAAAAGCTGAAAAAACACACCTGTGGTTTAAGAGAAACAGAGAAATAAAACAAATATGTATTTTGAAAGGTACTCATTTATAAATTTTCTTTTTATTTTCTGAGTCTTGACCAAAGAGATTGCCTACTTCTGTGCCATATACAAAGTATAGAGAAAATTCCTGGAGGAATTTTAAGGTTTGATATGCCTTCATCTTTGCTATCTGTAAAGATAAGTAGTTTATACAGGATAACTTTTCTGGAGAGTGGGGAGCAGGTATGCTCTGCAAGGATGGGTGTTTGTATTCCAACTTCCACTGGTAAAAGAAAAAACAATCTCTGTGAAGTCTAGCCTTTTATCAGTGTCTATGAGAATGCACCTTGACTGAAACCTGATCATACAGAGAACAATGCTGGTTTCATGCCTTGAGGGGACAGCCATGACCACTGTCTTTCTGTAGGGTCACAGAGGAACAGCCACCATCAGCTTATTGAAAATGACACTTAATTCCCAGAAACTTCTTTGCCTCTTTTTACTGTCATTCCAATGACTCAGAAACTAGACTTTTGCTTCCTGAGATATGTATCTAACTTATCAACGTTTCCCTCAGGCTAAGCAATGCTTAATTATTGAAAAAATTGTCAAATGTTACCCTTTCTCTCATTTTTCTCTTTCTTCTTATAAATATATAATTACATATTGTCAGCTTTTAGGGCTGTAGTATAGAAGGCAGTGTCGAAAAACAAACATTTGAAAAAAACCTGACGTGCACTTGGAACAAGGCCCCGCTCTGCATCAGTGTCCCGGGATGTGGGACATAAGTCATCACAGATCTTGAAGTGTACATGGGAAGTTAGATTTCTTTTCCTGGCATTGTGCTCGCTCTACATTTGTTCTGTGAAAAACATGAAACAAGAAGACAGGCATGTTTGTTGTTAAAGGAGAGCTTGTTTGTGACTAATATGTTTGAGAAACCATTCAAGAACAATCCATTTCTTTTCGAAGCGACTGCTCCATGAGGCTGCCAAGCTCCATTGAAACAGGGTGATCAATCATGTGTGCATGTTATGGAAGATAAAAGTGATGAGGGACACAAGCTGCATCTGAAATTTGAAGAAACTCTCCAACTTTTAGTTTTGTGAGGTCTTAGGAAATTTCAAGTTCAGATCAGATCACCTCATTTTTTTCTGCTGTTTCTGTCCACATGCAGGGCTCTTATACTATCTCAGCCAGGACATTGTACAGCCAAACTCTAAGAGGCTATATTTGATTTTGTAGATCCCTTAGGACTCATCAATGGGACTTCCCATAAACTGCTCTGAGGGAAGCACTAGGGTAGATGGGTGGGAACTGGGGAACCAGGTTCTGGCTCCCTGCTCAAGCCGTAGGCAGCCTGCCAGTCTGATCAAGAGGAGACTAGACCCTTTATTTAAGCATTTCACTTTCCATGTAAAACCACCTTTTTAGGCTTTGGGGGGAGATGGGTATTCAATTTGTAAAATATCTAGGTTCTTTACTTCTGATTTAACTTAGCCTGCTTTTTGGAGTTTGTCTAGGGGAGAAAGAAAGTAAAAAGATCTTTTTTTTTTTTTTAAATATATCTTTATTGATTTCAGAGAGAGAAAAGGGGAGGGAGAGAGAGAGAGAAACATCAATGATGAGAATCATTGATCGGCTGCCTCCTGCATGCCCCCAACTGGGGATTGAGCCCGCAACCCGGGCATGTGCCCTGACTGGGAATCGAACCCCGATCACCTGGATCATAGGTCAACGGTCAACTGCTGAGCCACGCCCGGCCGGGCAAAAGTAAAAAGATCTTAAACTCCAGCCAACCTGCTAAATAATTCTGTGGAGAAGAGCTGAAATCATTGCTTTAAAGCAAGTATTGGATTATACCTGGAGTTTATCTTGCTATGATATTTAAGTTTCCTTTTACCATGGAAAATTAAGAGTTGGTATAACTTTTATGACTTATTGTTTACTTATCCTTATAAAAATAATTCTTAGATCCGGAATATTTCTACAGTGCAATCTTGTGGCTTTATTGATTTGCATTTATACTTTCTGTATTTCTCATGAAGTGAATAGAAGTCATTTGAACAAAAAGCAACTCAGTGCTAGTTGCCATGTCCTTTTTCCCAGGAAAATTTTCACCGATTTTTCCATAAAGGATATTTTCCTTACTTGTTTGAATATTTTTCAAGACCCCCAAAACATAATTAGAACTGCTGGGTTGATTCTAGGTGCTAGTGCTTAAGAATACTTGCTTTACTACCAGTCCCCACCCCACTCCAGCCACTGAACATAAGGAGAATAGTGGTCAGCTGAAGGGTGCCTGATGGTGAGTCATAAGACAAGCATATTATTTTAAAGCTACAGACAAAATATCTACCTTATTTCTTAAAAGAACAAAACGTTTTGTCTTTCCCAGGTTCATCTGATGTTTCCTGACCACGTACCAAAGCCTTGTTGTGCTCCAACCAAATTAAATGCCATCTCTGTGCTATACTTCGATGACAGCTCCAATGTCATTTTGAAAAAATACAGAAATATGGTAGTGCGCTCGTGTGGCTGTCACTAATATTAAATAATAATAGGAATGAGAAAAAGACCTGTATTAAGGATTATGAATACAATAAAAAGTATACTTTCAGACAAAAGGAGAATTTCATAAAATTAGTCTGGCTCATTTCATCTCTATCATGTACAATATCATGTATATAGTCACTTTTATTTATTTAAAGGTATATATTCTCCTTTGCGGATGCCTTATCAAATAAAAGCTATTTTATAAGTCACTACAGTATACAATAGATTGTCCAGTCTAACTTTCAATGAGATATGCGAAGTCCAATTCAATTCCATTTCAACATTTTTTTCTAATACAATTTTTTATATAACTTTTTGAAATTAGAACTCCTTTTACCTTTAAATATTATTGAAGGAAACCGAATGCATTGGTTATGTTGTGCCAATAAAAACTATGATAGGATATTTATTTAGAAGTAAAATTTAAAAAAAATAACAACCCAAACAAAAATGCTTGGATAAACACAATTTTTCTTTTAGAGTTTCTGCTTCATTAGACAAAGTGAAAATGTTGAACTGGATTTGAGTAAATAAATGGTAGGCAGAACATAGAATCTGAAAGATTGCACATAATTGTTACAACTGTTTGCTTTAACAGAATTGGTGTAACTGTAGGAGCATGTTCCTTCTTGGCTTGTGGATTGCAGATTTTGCAAAGAGCTCAAAGCTTCAGGAACTCTGTGGAGACAGGCTTGAGCCTGTGTCCATAACTTTCCAAGTTAACACTAAAAAATGGCAGTACAACCTTCTTACCTCAAATAAATCATGTCTGCCTATTATCTAGAACACTACTGCTGCAGATTTTTTTCTGATTTAAAAGGAGTCCAAAATAAAGAAAAATTTACATGTGCTCCGCTTCCCTCCCCACAGACAAGAGTCACTGCATGCATAAAATATACTGGAGCAAGAGGCCGACAGAGCCATTTTCTTTAGCTCTCCATAACTGAGTCTGCTGATTGATGTGATGCAAGGGATTTTATTTAGGGTAAAAGCACTGAAACTAAACTGGAGGAAATTACCAAAAATCCCAGAATGGCTTTGACAGAATTGCCATTTCGAAAGAACAGCTGAAATCCATTTTTCATATCTTTGAGAATGAGCTCAATGAAAACCTTATTTTGTAAGGGGATTTTGTAAACCCTCCTCCAAGCACAAATAATTCCAAACGGGAAGGTTCTGTTGTGTGTATGTGCATGTGTGTTCTTCCCTCTGAAATTAATTTATTTTCTCTCTCTGTTTCTCTCTCTGCCTTCCAAGGCTTTTCTTTAACAGACACTGATTTCTTAAAGAATGACATTTAGATGGATAGCTTGCTATTTATGATGGCTCCACGGTTAGGCCTATTTATACTTCTTCCAGAATATTCATAAAGCACCATTTATTAATCACCCTTTGGGATATTTCAAATAAACATAGAGATAGCTTCAAAAATGTTATGGGTTTGTTTGTAATTCAGGTATATTGCAATGTTGTTTTAAAATACAGTTTATCTTAAAGATTTGCTAATAACTATATTGGGGGGTACATTAAGTAATATATTTTTGAATTAATGGCATACCATTGTAAGAATAAGAAACGGAAGTCTATTATATTATTCTTTAAATGTGCTGTTTAAATATATTTCTATATTTTAAAATATATTAAACTTGTGATGCTAATTTCTATTGTGCTTCTTGATTCGACTCTTTATTTAAGAGGGATACAACACGTAAGTATGTCATAAACAGAGACTATAAGAATATCAGATACAAAAGGTATGTGGATTACATGATTATTTATGATGTTTTTAATTGCCCAAACTAGTTTTTGTGTTAATAAATAACTCACTGTTAAATAAACAAAGCAAACTTAAATGAATTAAATATTTTCTTAACTATTCAAACAACGAAGAAACTTTTTAAATAGCAAAAATGATTAGAATGGGAAAATACCTCCTGTTCTTTCTCATTTAAGAAGGGAGATTATCGGCATCAGTATTTTCATATTTTTTTCAAGTTATATGTATATGTGTATATATGCACATATGTTCAGTCACATATTCTCAAATAACTGTTATAGTATCTCCTTAGTGTTACTTTGATTGTGCTCAAGCCGTTACTAGAAATCAGAATAACTTGGTCTATTTTACTAGGATCCAATCTACTCAAGTATTGTTAGCTAGTTAAGTATTGACTTGTTTGTTGTGTCTTTAATTTTTCTGCTTTACATATTTTTGCTTTATAATGTGTCCCTAATCCTTTTTGAAAATAGAAGGGTATAAATCACAAATATTCAAATTCTTTAAAACTAAGGCAAAAATAAATGTCTACATTGAACTACAGAAATAAGAAAAACACAAGAAAGAAAATTCGAAATTATTTTTATCTCATTTTATGATCCCTGTATCACTGTCATCGAATGTGAGCCAGAGTCTACTGGCTACTATACAGTCTGGCAAGTATCATTTCCCAAGACATTTACAATGAATAATTAGCTCATGCTGCAGCTCCATTCAAGGCAGAAGAAATCTTCATTCCCAAACACAAGTCACCATCTCATAACCATTCAGTCAATTGCTCAATCTATCATCCAATTTCCATCTCAGATTACCTCCTTGTTTATGTTTTCTCTTTGCGTTTTTTTTGGTTTTGAACTTTTTCAAGTTACAAGTGAAGATGGCTTTGCCGATAACACATATACGTTGCTAAGTGTATGTCTATACATCTGTATTTTATCAAGTTTGGTTAAGATCATAATTGAAGCGAAAGTAGGAAAAGTAATAGGTGCCAGTACTTATTCTTATTTAAGCAGGAAAGTGATACTATATCCACGTCAGCAATTTAAAAAGAGCAAAGGTTCTGCAAAAATTACTTCAAAGTCAGTTGTAATATTTGTTAAGGGCTGTTTGAAAGAGGGGCATTTCAAAGACAGGAGAGACCAGATTAGACATAGCCATTAGAAATGACAAGGAAATTTTAGAAATTTAAAAACTTGCACCTTAGCATTTGCATCTCAGTTTCAATTTGACAGAGGCAGGTAACCTCAAAGCCAGCTAGCCTCCGGGTCAATGCATGTACACAGTTGGGAGAGGATGGGTACATGCAATGCACTAAAGCCTCACATTTTGCAACCTATAGATAGGAAGACGAGAGAGGTAACATGGCATGAACACCCTCAAGAATTGACTGTCTCAAAACAGAACCTAGACTGACGGTGTGGCTACTACTACCTAGTGAAATATAATAGAACCTACTTAAAAAACTGGACTGTGTTTATTTTCCAACAGGCACCTAAAGAAAAAGCCCAAACAGGAAAATAATCCTCTACCTTGATCCACAAGGCGATTAAGATGTCTTGGATTATATATCTTTATAATCTCTAATGAAACACACACACATACATATTTATATACACATACGTATATGTATATATGTATATATTATAAATATATTTTATGTGTTTTAAAGATGAGAGCATTAAAATATGAATATTAAATACAGGGTGGGGAAAAGGTAGGTATATAGTTGCGAGGATACAAAACAGTTTAGTCTTGTATTATTATTTATTCATTATTGTATATTTTCTTTACAAACAACTGTAAACCTACTGTTGCCTCACCTTGTATTTTAAATGAACCACTAGAACCTCTGGGAAAGAAAAATATCATACTTAATTTAAATTTTATGGGATGTGTTAAATAGTGGCTTAGATGTTACTGATGAGAAAAAATATTGAGTTGCATGATAGACCTGAAAAAAATTATTCAAAAGGCAGCTACGAGATAGATAAAGTGATTCAAAATCTAAAAGAACTTGAAATACATAGGGACCAAAGGGAGTTCTAACATCCATTTAATCAGTATTCCAGAGAACTAGGGACAATTTTTGGGCTAACAACTTACCGTTCAATCAAAGCTGACTTCTCAACTTGGGAGTCAGTTAATAGCTAATTACTGCCTTCAAATTGTCAAGGAAAAACACTGACATTTAGAATTCTGGATCCAGCAAAAAATTCCAAAAATCAGGGCAAAATAAAAACATTCTCAGAAAAATAAAACTCATAGCAAATTTACCATCAACAGCTAAACCACTGCTAAATATTACATCTCAGGAAGATAGAAAATTAACCCTAAAAGGAAAAACATACAAAAGCGCTGAGCAAGGTAAGTGGTAAACTGAGGGTAGACATAAATGATATCTAACAGTTGTTTTAAATAGCAAAAGAGAATTAAATTGCCTTAAATAGGATTAAATATAATAAAACACAGTACAAGTATAGAATGTATGATGGGAGGTAGATGGCTGGATAAATAGATTTTGCATTTCACTTGATGACAATGATTACATTAGACTTGCTAACCTCAGAACACAAAATAGTATGCATATTTTAAACCAGGATTTGCAAAGGTTTTCTGTAAAGGACATGATAGTAAATATTTTAGGCCCTGCACTTCTGACACAACTACTCTGCTGCTGGAGTGTGAAAGCAGCCATAGGCAACAAGTCCTCGAACAGGTGTAGCTCTATTCCAATACAACCTCATTTACAAAACCTGCTGGTGGGCCGGATTCTGCCCCGAGGCTGCGTTTGCTGACCCGTCCTGAACCAGTAGCGAGAATGATTGCAATGTGGTAAAGGGCAATCAATTCAACAAGACACAAGAGGGGGAAGGGGGACGAGAGACACGGCATTATGAAAGAAGTGAGCGTCAAAACACAGCAATAACACTTGAATCACTATTCTCATTTCTAGGCTTATACGTAAGACATGGTATCCTATGCCTTAGAACTATATAGAGTAAAAATGGACAGAACCACAAGAAGAAATTAAAAGCACACATTTTAGTGAGCAGTTTGAGCACCCCTGACCGGGGATCGAGCCCGAAACCCGGGCATGTGCCCTGACTGGGAACCAAATAGTGATCTCCAGGATCTTAGGTTGATGCTCAATTGTTGAGCCACGCCCGGCAGGGCTAAATTTATTTTAAAATGAATGTCCCCAAGGTATCTTTCACTTTTAGGGCATTCTAATTTTATTGAGGTTCCCCCCCACCACCAAAGTTCTATGTTATTATTTTGTTTGAAACATATTCCTTTGTTTCTCCTTTTTGCTGGCTCCCTGTGTTGGTTTCTAAGCAATAGATAAAAGCGTCGCCTCTGCCAGTCTTGAAGGGGCTGGCCTTGTGTAGGTGAACCTTACTGTTCAACACTGCCCCAGTTCTTGGTTGTCTTTTAAATCTCTATAATTGTCCAGTTAATCTATTTTATTTTTAATAGCTCCCAGTAGTTAAGAGTGTGCCAAGACCATTGTGTCCCAAAGAGGAGATTCTCAGCACCTAGATTCAGGCTGTTTGGAAGCCAGAGCATGAGACAGCGGCTCTAAAATAATGCAAATATACATAGTCCTCTGGGACCTCAAGCCTAAAAACCCCACTGGCTACAAGACCAGGCGATGTAGCGGTGTCCTCNGCAGCGGCTCTAAAATAATGTAAACATACATAGTCCTCTGGGACCTCAAGCCTAAAAACCCCACTGGCTACCAGACCAGGCGATGTAGCGGTGTCCTCTGACAGCAGCCGCAAAAATCAGGGCACCAGGCAAGATTATAAGCTCCTTTCTGGAAGATACCGGCAAGTGGGAAAGGGGCAGGCGAGCAAAGACCAGGTGCCATAAACATGCTACATCACAAGCCTGCTCCTCAAGGCCAAAGCTCCTTGGACAAGACATAGGCCTTTTGCTCAGAAAGCCAGGGCTTCTTTTGGTCTGTGGTCTCGGCAGCGCTCTGGAGTGACAGTCCGCCAGGAACTGTTTCTCCAACTGTCACAGTCCCATGGGACCCAAGAATGCAGGTCCCCCTGATCTCCAGAGGCAGGTGCCTCCCGTGGGAGGCAGCCTGGAAACCCCAGGTCGCCTGGCTCGGCCGCCAGGGCAGCGAGGCGCGCGTGCAGGTCCCCACGGGGCGAGGGGGCCCTCGGGCGAGGCGGGGATCGCGCCCGCTGGCGGGGGCAAAGCAGGTGAGCGCAAACGATGGCACCTGCTGGGAAAGAGAACAAAGGAAAGCTACATAAATAGAAGGGGCCCCTCGGCTCTAGGAGGGCAAAGGCTGAGCGGGAGGCCGGCACCTACCAGCCACCGTAGGTTATCCCAGGGGCCTTCGCCCGCAGACCCAGCCTTGACTCCGAGCTGGAGAGCGGGTTTCATGGAAGTGGGGGTGCTTCCCGCCTGCCGCCTCCGCCCCGCCCGGGCCAGGTAAGCCTGCGCGCGCCTCTTACGAGCCGCCCCTCGGATTGCCCCTCGGGCCTCCTGCGCACCAGCCCCACTGGTGTTCAAAGTCAGATGTTTTGGGGGGGCTCATCTCCGATGCTGGGGGTGTTGAGTTCCCTCCCAGCCGTTGGCCACTGTGTTGGGTGTGGGGCTTACGGCGAAACAGTGCCCCAGCCTTTCTGGAGTTTCCATGTGGTTTTACGGTCGTTTGCTGAATGTGAAGGTTTTCGCGTTTTGCTCTTTGACTCCCAGAGCATGTGGTTCCCCCCGTGCCCGTGGTTTCGGTGCGTTTCTGGGGCAGCCGAGGCCAGGGTCCTCCTCGGCGTCTGTAGCTGGCGCCTGCAGGGCGCGCTGGTGGGTGAAGCCGGGTGCGCCCCTGGGCCCGCAGGGGGGCTCAGGGCTCCTGAATCCCGCGCGGAAAGGCCCCTTCCACGTGGCGAGGGCCGCCGGTTCGCGCGGCGGTGGTGCGGTGCTGCGCCGACACGCACAGCGCTTCCTGTAGGTGTCGGTGCGAAGGGCGCTCCGGGCCCAGGCGGCTGCGGCTGCAACGCGTGGCCCGCGTTTGGGAGACACAGCGGGGGGCGAGCGGGGGACGGCAGAGGAGGGACCTGAGCCC